CGCGAAAATGGGAGGTAACTGTCTTCTGCTGATCACTGACACTGAGGAAAATGGTTGTTTTAATGTATTCTAACTGACAGTGATATGATATAGCATAAATATTTGATTTGGGCTCATTTATTCCTGCGAAAATTACAACATTTCCTGAGTTAAATCACGTGCTAAAAGTTTGGAGGTGGATTACAAAGGATATTCGTAGTCTGAAAAGCCAATAACAACGTGCCCTCAACTCTATCTACTGTTTTAGTATATACTAACACATTCTTTACACTGTTAAACCGACGTAGATCTAATCTCCAAGGTGAATAGATATCCTAGTGTTGTCTAAGCGTGTATTACAAGTCTTATAAATGTTTAATTACTCAGCTTTAATCACCTCTTGGTTCATGGGTCTGTCTGTTTGATCACCTGCCGGTTTTTTATTACTATTTTTTTTAGCAATTTAAAACTGTTTAATTATTTTGGGTCGTTTTGATTGGTGGGGACTAGAACGATCAATTTGCATTTTTTTTTTTCACTTGCAACACGAAAAATGCATAGCGTTAGTACTGCGGGCTTTTCACTTGATGATGAAAGAAAAATGAAGAAATTTGTGCCCTTTCTCTTTTCACTGCACTTTGCTCCCCAACCGAATAGTGTCGCTTGTCGACCAGTGTTACAGTGTGCAAGATGTTTCTAAAGATTTGTACATTGTACAGGTGGAAGAATAATAGAACACGTAGTCCCCTAGTTGGTTCATCCATCTAAACTCGTGCTTTCATCGACCTGATCTCGTGCGTGTGGAATTTACGTCTCCTACCCCTCCTCCAGGAGACGGGACCTCCATTTATTCGACCCTATCCGAGAACACTAGAATATCTAACCATTTCTTGATGTTATAAAAAGGAAGCATATTCTTCTCAAGGTCTTGAGTGTTGGTCCGGCCGGGGCTCGAACCGTCGACCTCCCGCACAACAGTCCAGCGCTCTATCCTTTGAGCTAACTAGGTTTTAGTTTAATTCAGGCGAACATCGCTGTTTAAGCGCTATGTAGAAAGTATGAGTTTGTTTTTTCAATAGGCCATACTGTGTTATTTAATACAAGCGTTAAAACGGGTATGATAAATAGACACTGAAGTTTAATTCAACGTCATCAGACCTTAAAAACCATATGACTAATTTATAAAAGGGAAAAAAATTGAAGCATGTTTCACGCTATGCTCGATATTTCGA